TATAATTAGCTATCAGTTCATTTACGAACTTCCAGCGTTAGGGACTGCTGCTAGAGGTAAGACCCCAAGACATGCCAGCACCCGGTGGTTACTTGTAGAGTGGGGCTTGATTTGTGAGATAGCATCACAGAGAAAGTGCTTAGCCTTTTAAAGGTATTTCATGTTTACTTTTTTAGGACAGGGCATGAGTTAGCCTAAAAATGAATTCAATGAGCACACTTAATCCTGGTCTCTTCCTCAAAAGTACACACAAGTGACTTATGTGAAAGAGAAAATTCCAAGTCTTCCAAGAGGTGGTGGCGCTGTGCTGGCACTTTTCGTGTCTATTTGCCTTCTTTTCTGAATTCACAATTTTTGAAGGCTATGTTCCATTCATAGTTATTATCACTGTAACATACTGACTGTACTCCCTGTGTTGGAGGATCTATCTTGCCCCACCCCTTTTCCCTCTCCCCACTGGTAAGCACCAGGTTGCTCTTTGTATCTGCAAGTCTGTTTCTTTCTGTTCTTCTTGTTATATTCACTAGTTTGTTGTATTTTAGGTTCCACAGATAAGTGATATCATACAGTATGTGTCTTTTCTGTCTGATTTACTTCACTAAGAATAATGCCCTCCAAGTCTATCTGTGTTATTGCAAATGACAGAATCTCATTCGTTTTTATAGCTGGGTAGTGTTCCGTTATTCAGTTCAGTTCAGTTCATGGACTACAGTCATGTCCGACTCTTCGCGACCCCATGGACTGCAGCACGCCAGGCCTTCCTGTCCATCACCAACTCCCAGAGCTTGCTGAAACTCATGTCCGTCGAGTCGGTGATGTCATCCAACCATCTCATCCTTTGTCATCCCCTTCTCCTCCTGCCTTCAATCTTTCCAGCATCAGCATGTTTTCCAGTGAGTCAGCTCTTCGTATCAGGTGGCCAAAGTATTGGAGTTTCAGCTTCAGCATCAGTCCTTCCAGTGAATATTCAAGACTGATTTCCTTTAGGATTGACTGGTTTGATCTCTTAGCAGTCCAAGGGACTCTCAAGAGTCTTCTCCAACACCGCAGTTCAAAAGCATCAATTCTTTGGCACTCAGCTTTCTTTATGGTCCAACTCTCACATCCACAGATGACTACTGGAAAAACCACAGCTTTGACTAGATGGACCAATTTCAGCAAAGTGTTCTATTATATATATGCTGCTGCTGCTAAGTAGCTTCAGTCGTTTCCGACACTGTGTGACCCCATAGACGGCAGCCCAGCAGGCTCCCCCATCCCTGGGATTCTCCAGGCAAGAACACTGGAGTGGGTTGCCATTTCCTTCTCCAATGCATGAAAGTGAAAAGTGAAAGTGAAGTTGCTCAGTCGTGTCTGACTCTTAGCGACCCCATGGACTGCAGCCTACCAGGCTCCTCTGTGCATTGCATTTCCCAGGCAAGAGTACTGGAGCGGGGCGCCATTGCCTTCCCCTACATATTTATATACATTTGTTGTTCAGTCACTCAGACTCTTTGCAGCCCCATGGACTGCAGCATACCAGGCTTCCCTGTCCTTCACCATCTCCCAGAGTTTGCTCGAACCCATTGCACCTTCTTGATCATCTGCTGATGGCCCCCTGGGCTGCTTCCGCGTCTCGGCTACTGTAAATAGTGCTGCTGTGAACTTTGGGGTGCTTGTGTCTTTTCCAGTTATTTTTTTCATTTCTTCAGATGCATACCCAGGACTGGAATTTCCGGGTCATTATGGTAGCTGCGTGTCTAGTTTTTTTGAGAAACCTCCATGCTGTCTTCCACAGTGGCTGCACCAGTTTACATTCTCCGTGTGGAAAAACCAAGTTCTGCCTGTCGGACGCGAAATACAAGACTCAAGAACAAGGGGCCGTATTCCACGGCCGGAGCAGTGCATGGTCACGCTCTCCCTAAAGCAAAACTGACCCCCGTTGTCAAAACACGTGAACTGAGACTTGGTTATTCAGATCATAGAAAGGCTCACCACAGGATTCTTGAGTAGAATACACTATTACATTTAAAATATTTTACTTCAGGGAGAAATTTATTGTATAAGTCAATTTTTGAAAGCCAGTGTCAAACTAGAAAAAGAAAGGAAACCGACTTAGAAGACGCAGCAATTCAAGGGTTTCCCAGGCGGCTCAGGTAAAGAATCCGCCTGCGTTTGAAGGAGAAGCAGGAGACTCGGGATCAATCCCTGGGCCAGGAAGAGCCTCTGGAGGAGGAAGTGTCAACCCACTCCAGTATTCTTGCCGGGATAGTCCCACGGAGAGAGGATCCTTACGGGCTGCAGTCCATGGGGTCGCAAGGAGTCAGGCAGGACTGAGCGCATACACACGCAGCATAAAAAATACGTAGCAGCTAATGTAGGTCATTTTATAATTAAGCCTTGTTTGGACAAATACCCCTAAATGTAAAGCAAACATTTGGAGAAATCTTTGGGGAGGCCTTGACTGAAATATATAACACAGTTCTCGTCCCAAGATGCTGGCCGTTTCCGTGGGGAAATGGATGGTTAATAAGAGGACAAGATGCTGTGAGAGCTGAAACAGATCAGCCAGAGCTGTGATTTGGGAACTTCCTGGTCAGTGATGGGAGGAACTCAATCAAAATGTTTTTCTTTCTTTCTTTCCTTCCTTTCTTTCTCTCTCTCTTTTTCTTTCGCTTTATAGCTTTAACATCAGAATCATTGCCACTGAATTAAAGCTGCCTGTATAGACACAGAAACAAAGCAGACATTCAGTAAGTAGGTGCCTCTGGGACAACTAGCAGTGTAACTTCTGTTTACAGTTAATGATAAACGCATTGAACAGCATTTTCCTTCAGAAGGACAATTGCGTGTGTTTTTAAACTTTGGGGAGTTTGGACCAGTATCCATAGAAATTATCCAGCAAATGCTGACCTGAAGACTTTAAGCAGTTATCTGTAACAAGAGTAAGTGGTTTAACCAGAACTTATGATCCATCCTTCGTTTTCTGTTTCTTAGCAGTTCATTGTGTTTTGATTTGTTTTTATTAAGAGAGTGGCATAATTTATCACAGAAGGTTGAACCTTATTCTCAAAAAATACATTTATCAAAAAAAGGTTTCAGAAGCAACTCTCTGAAATGACTGTTGTTTGTTTATCTTGCATTTTATACTGCGCAGATTCCTGCATCCTCCCTATGAATCTCAGTGACTTTCGTTTAGCTTTTCTTGCTGTGACAATATCTGTCATTGTAGCATAAAATAATATGTCATTTTGATTTTTTTCCCTATGATTGTGTTAAAATCACTATAACACTGGAATTTGCTTGTCTTTTTTTTTCTTTCAACTTCTTAGTAGTATATAAAAGAGAAAACTAAATTATTCCTTAAGTTTTAGGTTTAAATGTTTTCTTTAGGTTGAGCGGGAGGGTAAGGAGAAGCAGCACTAAGAAGCTGGTCAGAATTCAGATGAACTATTTTTGAATTACTGGTTCTCTGCCATGATGCTTTAGGAAGGACCAATGTCTGTAACCAGGGTATGTGCCTCTGAAATTCGAACAGTGTGGCAGAGAACCAGGCTGACATGAATGTAGATTTTTCTGTCATCTGCCTTGGAACAGCATATTCAAGGGATTTCCAGTTGTTTACATTTTATAATTTTGAACCAAATATAACTAATGAGTATTTTAATTGAATTCTAAGACAGTTTAGATGAGATAGATGGAAAACGCATTATTAGCTGAGGCCGTTTCCGTGGGGAAATGGATGGTTAATAAGAGGACAAGATGCTGTGAGAGCTGAAACAGATCAGCCAGAGCTGTGATTTGGGAACTTCCTGGTCAGTGATGGGAGGAACTCAATCAAAATGTTTTTCTTTCTTTCTTTCCTTCCTTTCTTTCTCTCTCTCTTTTTCTTTCGCTTTATAGCTTTAACATCAGAATCATTGCCACTGAATTAAAGCTGCCTGTATAGACACAGAAACAAAGCAGACATTCAGTAAGTAGGTGCCTCTGGGACAACTAGCAGTGTAACTTCTGTTTACAGTTAATGATAAACGCATTGAACAGCATTTTCCTTCAGAAGGACAATTGCGTGTGTTTTTAAACTTTGGGGAGTTTGGACCAGTATCCATAGAAATTATCCAGCAAATGCTGACCTGAAGACTTTAAGCAGTTATCTGTAACAAGAGTAAGTGGTTTAACCAGAACTTATGATCCATCCTTCGTTTTCTGTTTCTTAGCAGTTCATTGTGTTTTGATTTGTTTTTATTAAGAGAGTGGCATAATTTATCACAGAAGGTTGAACCTTATTCTCAAAAAATACATTTATCAAAAAAAGGTTTCAGAAGCAACTCTCTGAAATGACTGTTGTTTGTTTATCTTGCATTTTATACTGCGCAGATTCCTGCATCCTCCCTATGAATCTCGGTGACTTTCGTTAGCTTTTCTTGCTGTGACAATATCTGTCATTGTAGCATAAAATAATATGTCATTTTGATTTTTTTCCCTATGATTGTGTTAAAATCACTATAACACTGGAATTTGCTTGTCTTTTTTTTTCTTTCAACTTCTTAGTAGTATATAAAAGAGAAAACTAAATTATTCCTTAAGTTTTAGGTTTAAATGTTTTCTTTAGGTTGAGCGGGAGGGTAAGGAGAAGCAGCACTAAGAAGCTGGTCAGAATTCAGATGAATTATTTTTGAATTACTGGTTCTCTGCCATGATGCTTTAGGAAGGACCAATGTCTGTAACCAGGGTATGTGCCTCTGAAATTCGAACAGTGTGGCAGAGAACCAGGCTGACATGAATGTAGATTTTTCTGTCATCTGCCTTGGAACAGCATATTCAAGGGATTTCCAGTTGTTTACATTTTATAATTTTGAACCAAATATAACTAATGAGTATTTTAATTGAATTCTAAGACAGTTTAGATGAGATAGATGGAAAACGCATTATTAGCTGCCGTGCCACCTGTGTACAGCATCCAGGGGATAACACCTTGGAAGGCAGCATGCGCCTCGCCGGGCAGCATTTGTCTGTTTGTGCGTCTCGTTAATAAGGAATCGAATGTTTTTGACTCCCCCACTGCACTTTGGAGTAGATGTGATCATGCCAGTGCCCACGCTATTTCGGTACTAATTCCCCACTGTTTTTAATTTGGGGCAGAGATTTGGGGACGGAATTGGGGAAGCATACTTCCTGCAAAGTTATGGCTCAAAGTGTAAACACCGAAATCATCCTGGACACGTTTCAACAGCAAATGTGAGGCAGCCTGTTGTGACAGCACGTAGAGACACCGAAATGGGCGTGCACCTGTGTGCAGGCTAAGCGTCACAACGTCCAGTGGCAAAAACATGGGGCGCGAGTTATCTCGGTGACTCGACGGAGTTTGGTACATTTAACCTTTTAGCCATAGTATTATTTGGTTTCCTATGGAATCGTTCTTATTTATTTTTGTCCAGTTAGAAGATAAAGCAAGGGGAGAGGTGCCTGCATCTGTTTGCTTTCTTAGCACGGATGATGCATGTAAACACACACGTGCATCTTTAGATTTCTCCCAGAGGCATCTGTCTACACATGGTAAACAAGTTGTACGGTTCACATAAACAAACTCCAGAAGAGAAATTCCACCAGAGCCGTTTTCCTTGCTCATTGTCTGTGTCTGCCTTTTGAGTCTGTTTCCCTCTCACTCCACGTGATGAGGACCTGCAGGGTGAGGATCCTCAGGAGTCAGGCCGGTGGATTGTCTGAATCCATCACCTCTGTGTGAGTGGCTCCTGTCTAGAAGGGAAAGGGGAAAAAAAGCAAAGTATCAACTTCAGAAACCACATTCAGGTTAAAGGGCACCAGCCATCCTGGCCTGAACTCTGCCCAAAGGACGGACCTTTCATCTGATAAAGATCATTAGTCACCAAGACACATATTTCAGAGAGTTCCCAGCAGCGACACTCCACTGACAGTCACTGGAGTGTACCAGATGGTTCATTAGCATAGGCTAGACAAGTCAGAGGCTTTCAGAATCATTTAGAAAATGTCACCCAGAAACAAGAACCCTGTCACTTTTTATTAGAATTAACTACATCATAGCCTGGACACAGATTTCACCTTGGGTCAGAAAAATTAATACAGAGTTCCATGCATTGTGTCATATACTGGGTTAAGATCAGTCTTCCTCAAGGGACTCATTTGCTGGCAATATATTATGATCCTTCTACTTTCAGAATCCTCAAACCTTTTCTTTTGTGAGATATGAAAAGAATTGACCTTGCTCAAAAGCCACTGGTGTCTAATTGATTGGAGGTATAGGCAGGATTTCAACAGGACGTTCTTCTAAAGCACATTTATGACTGTTTTCTCAGGTACTTCCAAGAGTGGGGTTGACCAACCATCCAGCAGTGCATCAAGTGGGCTTTATGTCAGGAGAAAAACCCTAATTGAACACACTGCTAAAAACAGAAATTAAAACACCATTGAAATATTGTGGGTTTTTTTTTTTTTAATCCAGATGTCAAAAACCTGGAGAACCTCCAGCTGGTCGAAGGCGTCCAGGAACAAGTCAACGCTGCCCTGCTGGATTATACAGTGTGTAACTACCCGCAGCAGACAGAGAAGTTCGGGCAGCTGCTGCTCCGACTTCCGGAGATCCGGGCCATCAGCATGCAGGCCGAGGAGTACCTCTACTACAAGCACCTGAATGGGGACGTGCCCTACAACAACCTGCTGATCGAGATGCTGCATGCAAAACGAGCCTAGTCACCGCCCCCAGGAGCTCGGAGTCCCAGAGACACAGAGATGGGCGGGGTGGGGGAGGAGAACAGGAAAATGGGAAAAAATACTCTGAATGGCTCCAAGCAACACGAGTTAAACACTTGGTTTAAAGACACTGAATTTGATAAGGCATAGTAATCAGATACTGGATAGCCACTAAATGATGCATCAGGGTATTTGTATTGCAAACTGTGAATCAGTGGGGTCACATCCCCGAAGCGTTCCGTGCAGAAGACACTGGAACGGAGTGGACTGAACCCGCAGGCGGATCCCAGCACCGTGTCAGGCTGGAGACAGAGCGGCTTTCTTGTGTATTGAAACTGGTCTCCAATGTGAAGAATTCTGAGAGCTGATCCATGTTATTCGTTAGGCTTACGTGGCAGGGAATTTGAGCTTACAGAATTCCTCTGTGGTAAAGCTGAACTGAAACCATCCTCAAGAATCCATCAGCTGCACCAGTAACAACCCTCTCCTCTTCCTTCCAAGGACCCAGCACCTTCTGTCCTCTGATCCCGGCGTCTGTACCAAGGACCTGTGCTCAGCCGCACCCCCCAGAAGCTCCGGCAAACCTCGAAAAGCCTAATCTTGACTGTCTGTATCTTAGACCTGCCAACAGCTAACAAGAACAGTCCATTAATACGTGAGCTTGCCATTTTGACTACGTTCTGGTTTGTTTTGTCATGTGTTCATGATGTCTGGGGGGAAAAAAAGCAGGCAGTGTCCCTCTTCTGATCCTATTACAAGCGTTCATTAATACTAAGGGCAGCGACTACAAACTTTTAAAGCTTTAGCTTTAGCATTACTGGATTTCATAAAAAGTCCCAGCGGAAAGGCTCGTTAGGATGCATCAGCCTTTTTAACCATCAAGGTTTGTAGTTCATTAAAAAATACAATAGGAAACATATTTTGCTGGAATGTCAAATAGTCACCGTTCTGAACAGGAAAACTACACGGAAGCATGTTAAGCTATGCAAAATAAAGGTGGGGGTGAGCAGATACATTGATTGACATGTTGCAATTGATCATCCCCTGAACGTAGAGAGGAAACGGTGATCTTTACGTAGCCTGGAAAGATAGTAATGTGCTTCAAATCTTCCCCCATAGGGAAGGGAAGAGAGTGACAGTGACCTTTCTAAGTTACTATATAGACCAAAGTCTGCTATAGAACGATTATTGGAGGACAGAGAACTGGGAAACAAAGTCTCCAGACCACGCTGTCAGTATTATCAACAGGCGATGCCAGAGATACAGAAGTCTTGCCTTACTTCACAATTCTCAAAGGTAGCAGATGTGCATCAACACTTGTTTAAAATAAAGTATTAATACTTTAAAGTCAAATGAAATAGAGTGTTTACATTCCTTAGGTCCTCTGGGGGGAGGGGGGAACTGTGATATGACAAAAGAGCTGAAGTCGCAATTTCCTTAATGTTATTTTTCTGATCGGTAATTATTTTTAACAGTACTTAGTTATTGTATGTCGTGAGACACTAAAATCAGAAACGGGGATCTCATTTAGATTTTAATTTTTTTTTTTTTGAGATTATTGGCGGCACAATCACTTGTAGAAACTGTAAAAAAATGAAAGTATCTCCTAGTCCCTTAATTTTTTCATAAATGTTTCTGGCTTTTGAATAGTTTATTTATATTGTATATCATAGTTTCAACTGTAGACAATTATGATGCTAATTTATTGTTCCTTGGTTTCACCTTTGTCTAAAATATAGCCAAGACTGAAGAAACCAAATCTATGTGTTTATTGTAGCATGTCAAGTTAGTGGGACATAGTTCAGAGACAGAGAGAGGGGTCTTAATGAATTTAAATCATTCACTTGATTAAATGTCTGTAAATCTTCATGGTTCTTACTGTAGTTTATTTAATGTCTATTGTAAATTATGTGACTTGTAGCTTCCTCTGTTTTCTAGTAAATTTAACAAGGGTGGAGTCTTATCTGGTTTTCTTTCCAAGCGTTGTAAGTTGTATACCAAAGATATTAGTTATTACTTCTGTGAGTACAGAGAAGATTATTTTATTATTTTTATTAATCACCTCTAACACACGTCCAAGTGAAGGGTACCCATAGCTAAGCCGGGCGTCCACAGCTCATCACTCAGAGGTCACCTATGTTGTCTCCATGGCTCAAAGGACAACGGAAGATAGTTGATCAGAGTCTGTACCCAAAGCGGTAAATAGAGCAGCATCTTTACTCTCCCCAGTTAAAAACCAAGTTGGAGGGGAAAAGTGTCAACAGTTTATGAGATGGTTCCATCAGTGTATATGGAACACGGGTAGAGACAATTTCTAGATCTGGGAGATAGTTATTTAGAGGGTCCTTAATATTGCAAAAAAAAAAAAAATTTCAAAAACAAATACATTGATCCTAAAAGTCCAAGTTTTATTTTAAATGTACAGTATTTCCCACTGACTATTTTATCTAAACAAGGCCACATATTATTGTGTTGTTAACCTAATAAATTACACCGGAAGAACAGTTAGAAAGACGGGGAACGTGGAGACTGAAGCCACGCTAATGGTGACGTTAAAGACAGAAGCTGATGAACAAGAATGCCGCTTGGCATCCATGGTGCATGCAGACTTTGTCTAGTGTTTGTCACTAACTGGGTTGCAACCAGACGTTGACTTAGCCACTGCCTTATCACCTACAGGATTTACTAGTAAAGGCAGACTCAGATATGAAGGTTTGGGGCTTGGCCGGGCTCACTGTCATTGGTCTATGTTTATAAACAGACAATCTGTCACATCTGGATATTTATCTTACGGATCTTCTGCTGCCCCCTGGATCTGAATCCACGCTATGTCGAGAGTGTGAAGTCAGTTCCTTGTTGACGTTACTTAACTGTATCCGTGAAATCAAATTGTCATGTTGGTTCTTGCCAGGAATTTCTCAACAAAATGGAATTTTTTTTTTCAGTATTTCAATAAATATTGATATGCCCAGCCTGATCATTTTTAAAGGATTTTATGGTGTCCTTATTCTATTGGGTTCTAAAGCATCTAAAGTAACTGAGATCCTTGACTAGGAGTGGAGTCAGAAGAATTCCACATGCGTAGACACTTCTCGGCTGGTCCCCTATCCTTGGTGGGAAACTTGAGGCATTGAACTCAACCTGTGCGTCACCTCTCCAAACATAAAATGAAGCATTTTGTATCACTTCCTGTTACAGCTGATGGAAATATCTTATAGTATCTGTCCTTGTAGCGCTCACTGTGCCCTAGTCATTTTCCCAGGTGTCCGGTCAATTCAGTTGATCCTCGGATCAGCTCCAGAGTCTGACTCAGTGGACGTGAGTGTGTGCAAACTCCAGGAGATGGTGAAGAACAGGGAGGCCTGGCATGCGGCAATCCATGGGGTCACAAAGAGTCAGACACAAATGACTGGCTCAACAGCAACAGATCAGCTTCACGAGGTAGCATCGTCTTCCTCTGACAGTTTCCTGCTCCAAGTGATCCATTAGTCCCTGGGAAGTGTGTATCCAAGACTCAGAAGCCCTTAAACACAACACTGTGTTTGTCTCTAGGCCAGGATGACACTTGGGATTTGCTTCAAAAGGAAAAGATACGTTAGACAAAGTCAGGCCTCTGGTACTCCGTTATTGGTATTTGATATAAATTTTATCAGTGATATTATCCAGATGACACAGTGGTAAAGAACCCACCTGCCAGGGAAGGAGATGCAAGCAATGAGGGTTTGATCCCTGGGTGGGGAAAAGCTCCTGGAGAAGAAAATGGCAACTCACTCCAGTATTCTTGCTGGGAAAATTCCATGGGCAGAGGAGCCTGGCAGGCTACAGTCCATGGGGTCACACAGAATTGGATGCAGTTGAGCAACTACCCACACAAAGGATACCAAACAATCAGAACGCCATACCTAAGGTCTAGTAGAGTATGGAGCTGAGATTTTTAATCAACTAAACAGTGGCCCACAAAAGACATCTCCCTTGTCAACCTCTTACTAGGAAGAACTTACAAAATGCTTGCCGACATTCCATGGAATATGAAAAAGATAAGTATATGTTCATACATTATATTCATACATCATCTACATTAATACATACAAATATGTATATAGTTCATTCATGACCTATAACTTAACACATAGAAAAGTGCATAGTTTGATAAACTTCTGCATATGTATACACCCAGGTAATCATCACACAGGTCAAGGAAGTCATAGAACATTTTTATGTTTTTGTAAGTGGCTATATACATTTTTTTAAAAATTGGTGGAGGGGCCGTTTTTCCAAAAGCCCAGCCCGGTGGCCAGTGGAGGCGATTCTGATAAGCTGAGACCTCACTCCCAGCACTTAGAATAACTCTCACAAGGTTGCTGAGTCCGTCAGCATGAACCAGTCCTGGGGGCGGGGTGGGGGGGTGGCGGGAAATGGTTCTCGCTGATGTGCATTTGATTGTTATATTCGATATTCACAGTAACTTTGAAGGGGTCTGTGCCTTTAACTAAGTTTGACGTTCGGTTTGAAGCCACCTCTGATGTATGTTTTTATGAGAACCATGTGGAGGGTTTGTTCTCCGCAACGTGGGTCAAAATGCTCCGGCGCTCAGTGATCTTGACATTTCCCTGGAATAATAAAGACCAATTTTCCTGAATGCCGAACAGGAAGTGTATAGTTTAGTCACTCAAAATAAATATTCCTGCAGGACTTTAACTGCTGCACACAGGCATTTGTTTTATGTTAAGTGAGGAATTAATAATTCAGTGACTCAGATCAGGCTGTGGTGGTGGAGGTTTTGTTTGCAGGAAAGCTTAGAGCCAGTCTGTGAAACGTCACATGTTTAATTGTTGCTCGAAAGGAGGGAAGAAGGGGGTGTCATTAGACTAATCGCTGAGCATCCCTGACGAGAGTTTGGCACTAAAGGATCGGGAAGCCAGCAGGCTGGAGACTGCAGGCCTTCCACACTCCCCTCCCGAGCTGCGGCCGGTGTGGGCCGGACCCTTGACTCCCTGGGAGGTCTGGTGGTCCCCAGACCAGCCTCCCTGGGCTGCTGTGTCTCAGACTGATTTCAGGACCAAGTCAGTGAGAAAGAGCTGAGAGGAGATGGGAGGTGTCCTTCCAAGGACAACTTTTTGAAAAAATTCTATAAACTCGTTCAAAACTGCTTCAAGGGACCCCTCCTGCACTGTTGGTGGGAATGTAAATTGGTGCAGCCACTATAGGGAGCAGTGTGGAGTTTCCTTTAAAAAAATAACAAGAGCTGCCATAGGGCCTTGCACGCCCACTGCTGGGCACAGACCTGGGGAAAAACGTGGTCCGGAAGCACATGTGCACTGAAGCGCTGCTAGGGAGTTTGGGATGGATGTGCACATACTGCTGCATTTTAAATGGATAACCAGCAAGGTCCTTAGAGCACAGGGAGCTCGGCTCTGTTATGTGGCAGCCTGGATGGGAGGGGATTAGGAAGAGCGGGTACATGTGTGTGTACGGCTGAGTCCCTTTGCTGCCCCCCTGAAATTATCACAGCATCATTAATCAGCTGTACCCCAAGGAGAAGAGGGTGTCAGAGGATGAGATGGCTGGATGGCCTCACTGATGCAATGGACACGAACTTGGGCAAACCTCAGGAGATGGTGAGAACAGGGAGGCCTGGCGTGCTGCAGTCCATGGGGTCACAAAGAGTCGGACACGGCTGGATGATTGAACGACAACATACGCCAATATAATATAAAAAATTAGAAAAACAACCTGCTTCTCCAGCATCTGCCGTTGAGTGGCAGTAACTTGTGGTGGGGGGGGTGTTGGCTCCCCAACCTACCTTCTCTGGGGGACGGGGGTCCCGGAGTGACCTGGTGAGGCCTGTCCACTGACCAGGCTCGGATGAGAGAGAGAGGAACCGCTCTCATTGAAGCCACTGTATGACGGGGTCTCTGTTTCAGAAGCTTGGTATTTCCCCAGATACACAGAAACGATACTGCTGAATCCTCAAGGCAACCCCATCTTCACAGCAAGGAAGCCGACATCTACAGGAGTTAAGTAGCTCGCCTGAGTCCCAGCCAGGAGGTGGTAGGGCAGGGCGCACACGGTTCTGATTCCAAACCCATGCTTTGAACCCCCTGGAAGCACAAACCAAGACACCCCAGGACTCGTGTTCATTACTGACCCTTTTCTCCGGGACTCAAAAGACGCGATGGTGACAGACACCTTTTTTAAAATAGTGGCACCCAAAACCCAAAAATGTACTTTGTCTCAACAAGAGCAGGAGTGATCAGTTATAACCACTGACATCTGAAACAGGTGCTGACTGACTCATAGAATGAACTTAATGGTTGTCAGCGGGAAGGGTGGGGGGAAGGGAGAGTTAGGAAGCTTGAGATGGACATGGATGGACGTGCTGCTGTATTTAAAATGGATAACCAACTGAGTCCTATCAGGGACTCTGCTCAGCGTCTCGTGGCTCCTGGGTGGGAGGGGAGTTTGGGGGAGAATGGATACATGTATTCATACATGTATGGCTGAGTCCCTTTGCCACCCACCTGAAACTGTCACAGCATTGTTCATCAGCTTTTGCCAATACAAAATAAAAGGTTTAAAATGAATACATAGGTAAAACAGGGGTTGACTGCCAGGAGCCTCAGGGACCCCCCAAACGTACAAAATCTTTGAGTGTTACCCCCAGGAGAACCAGGGGTGGAAACCTTTATTTGTACACTTTCTCGACAGGAAACATCACCGTCAGCACCATCCACCCTTAGTCCTGCCCACGTTACGACTTTAAGAGCTCCCCTAATTTTCCCATACTGTGGCCTGACGAGTAGTTTCCCTATTCAGTGTCACCATGAAACCATTCGAGAAGCATCCTATTTGCATCCACTGTTCATAACATCCTGTCTGAGGGACTTCCCTGCCGGTCCAGTTGCTGAGACTCTGCACTCCCAGTGTCTGTGGCCAGGTTCAGTCCCCGGTCAGGGAGCTAGACGGCACATGTCACGACTACAGAAGAAGAAAAGGTTCCACGTGCTGTAACTGAGGATCCTGCATGCCCCCGACACACCCGAATAAATCACTGTTTAAAAAAAAATTCATAGACATCCTATCTGGGAATGCAAGCAATAATGTTTATGAAGAATAAACATTTGGTGCATGTCAATTCAGCTCACTTCCTTTGCCATTAGCCCACTTACTAACATATTCACTATTTAAAAAAAAAAAATCTTATCCCAAGGATTTTCCCCAGAAATAAATCAGGACTGTCAAAATCTCTCTGCCCCCGCGGAGGAGCGGCTTCTATAAATAAGTGTGGAAACACGTGTCACACTGCCCCTGGTGTGGCCGTAACAGGTTTCATTTCCCCTCTGCTCCTCCGAGGCCTTGTGTTATTCCAGTGTCAGATGTTCCTACAACTATTGTGTGGCCTGGATTGCGGCCAAGTTCCCCTGGCAATGCCCGGCCAGTGCTCACCCAGCCTCCCCCCTCCCTTAAAGGAGCAGAAAGTGTATGAGTGCCCATCCCGTGGGAGAAGAGGTCTTTCCCCTCCACGACCTACTCCCAGTGTCGTTGGTGAGAAGAGGATGACGATGGGGAACCTCGACTGTGCCCTGGAGCAGGCTGAGCATCGCGCAGTCCAGGCGCCTCCCCTGAGTCTCACAACAAGCCTGGGAGGTGGGCGCTGTTTGTCACCATCGCGTCGCAGACGAGGAAACCACGGCTGAATCACGGTAGTTTCCTAAGGTCACCCAGCTGGCGGGGCCAGGCCAGGATGCAAACCCAGCTGCGCTTCTCCACGCAGCCCAGCAGCTCACCCGGCTCAACGCAGACCCCGCGAGGGCACGTGGGAACACGGCGCTCGACTCCTCAGCTGCTTTTCCATCTCCTCATCACGCGGCCTGACTCTCGGGGCAAACGTCCCTCTGCCCAGGTTCACGTGAGATCTAGGCCCATATCAAGAAACGGCAAGACAACACACTCTGGTCAGATGATAATTTCATGTCAGTGAAGACAACCGCCTTGACGTAACTCAGCACAGACGAAAAAGCAGTAAGCCCGGGTGGCGGAGAGCCCGGCTCTTGTGCTGCCTTTTTTCTCTTTGTTTGCTGTGGCTTCATTTCATGTTAATGTGTTATCCTTGTTGTTCAGTCTCTCAGTCGTGTCCGACTCTGCGACCCCATGGGCTTCAGCATGCCGGGTCTCCCTGTCCATCACCAACTCCGGGAGTTCATTCAAACTCGTCCGTTGAGTCGGTGATGCCATCCAGCCATCTCATCCTCTGTCGTCCTCTTCTCCTCCCGCCCTCCATCTTTCCCATCTTCAGAGGCTTTTCTAATGAGTCCACTCCGCATCAGGTGGTGAAAGTACTGGAGTTACAGCTTCAGCATCAGTCCTTCCAATGAACACCCAGGACTGATCTCCTTTAGGATGGACTGGTTGGATCTCCTTGCAGTTCAACGGGTTCTCAAGACTCTTCTTCAGCACCACGGTTTAAAGCATCAATCCTTGGGTGCTTTATGCAAAGGGACTAAAATGAGGACCTGGGTTATTTTCAACACTAAAATGCAGGCACTTCCTGCAGCCACATTGCTGCCTAGAATTACTGGCCAAGAGAATCTGGTGGAAGGTGCAGCGTTCAGACGCGTGGTGACGACTGAGGGACGGAAAGTGGGAACCGGCTGGAGTGAGGGGGACACGGCAAGGAACGCGAGAGCCCAGCCGGGACGGGAGGGTGAGCCCAGGGTGGGGGGGCACCCCACCCTGCAGAAGAAAAAGTGTGTGATCTGGGATCCGCCGGGTAGCAATGAGAAGGGTCATTGTTCTCCTAACATTAAACGGTCCCCACATTACCCTATTCTGTGGACCACCGCGGCCAAATAAGGAGCTGGGGTGTTGGGAGGTGACATGAACGGTCTCACCGGTGTGCAGTTTTCAGCTCCGCTGAAGCACACTCAAAACTTCCTGCGTTTATTTTCCCATTCGGCAGCAAGCGATTCCCTGGCGCAGAGAGTCAGGAGAAGGGGGTTTCCACCCAGCTCTGATTTACGACCCTCGGAGGTGCCAAGTTCCTGTTTTTCCAGCCCTGCGGGGAACTTTCCCAGATCCTATCTGCTGGGCAACAGAGCCCCCAGCAGGCGTGGGCGGGAGGGGGCGGCTGGGGGACCGGGGCTGCGAGTGTGTGCATGGTGAACACAGTGCAGGATCGTCCCGGGGGCACAGGGAAACCCAAGCCTGCTTATTTTGTAATCTGCTCACGAACCACTTACTCTTTTATGGTTAATCATCTCTGCCTGCTTCTAAGCCCTCCACGCAGAATAAAGGCCTGGGACCCCCGCTGTCTCTCACCAGGAATTTCTCAGGGGGTCAGGAGTGGAAAGGAGCTTCCATCGTCCCCTAGATGCCTCCCCGGGATCCTGGCTGCCTTCAGCCCCTGGTCAGAGTGTGGACTTGTGGCGGGGCGGGGGAAGTGCAATGGCTTTGCAAACACGGCGGCTACACACCTGCCCCCTCTATACCTGGGGACGTGGCAGAGACAGCGTCGCGCTCCCGGAGGTGGAGGGGAGGGGGACAGCGGCAGGCAGGGCGTCCCTGCTCCCCCGACCTGCCTCACCTTCCCGCTTTGTCATCAGCTCCCTGTAAATCAGGTCACTGTGCTCCCCACCCTGCCTCGGACTCCGCCCCCAGCTCGCCCCTATCTTTCTCTGCATCTTGGGGCGCAGTCTCAGACCTGCGCTTTCCTTGCGCCGAGGAAGGTGAGCAGGCGGACCGCCCACCCTGACCTGTGGTCAGGGCTCAGGGCAGCAGGGCTCCCGGTCCTGGCCCAGACGCCCTTCCCATTCTCCCCCTCGACACCGGGCCTGCAGAGTAGCGGCCACAAGTCTCCAGTAGGGAGCTGTGTCCTCACGTGGGCCTAAGAATTCAAAAGGGAAGTCTAGCAACACCCCCGCGTTTCTTCCACGGGAAGCATTCGGGGGCCAGGCTCTCCACCAGGGACCTCCAAGCCTGTTCACAGCCTTGGGGTCTTGTAACTCCATAAGTGAAAGTGAAGTCGCTCAGTCGTGTCCGACTCTTTGCAACCCCGTGCACTGTAGCCCACCAGGCTCCTCCGTCCCTGGGATTCTCCAGGCAAGAATGCTGGAATGGGGTGCTATTTCCTTCTCCAGAGGATCTTCCCGAGCCAGGGATCGAACCTGGGTCTCCCACATTGCAGGCAGACGCTTTACCCTCTGAACCACAGAGAAGCCCTTGTAACTCCATACCTACCCATACGAGGGGCTTAATAAACGTTTCTTGGATTGAATCAAATATCTAATGGCTTTCCTCATAATTTAACATACGTTTGAAAACAAATAGTTTAAAAAGCAGGGTTAATGGTCGTTCACCATGAAAAAGACAGACACATCCTGAAATATAAGAAGAGCCTCCTTCTCACCTGTCTTATAACTGCTTTCAAACAGAACCTAACACTGTGCCTTCACAGTTCCTACTTTCTATGTCAGTAGATTCTTGATTATCTAGGATAAAGGAAATAAGACTTGGAAAATAGTTCTTTTTTTGATTTTTAAAAATTATTTACTTCTAATTGGAGGATAATTACTATACGGCATTGTGTTGGTTTTGGCCGAGCCGCAGCATGAATCAGGTATACATGCGTCCCCCGCATCTTGAACCTCCCTCACCTCCCACCCACCCCACCCCTCAGGGTCATCACAGAGCACTGGCTTTGAGCTCTCCGTACACAGCAACTTTCCATTAGCCATTTATTTTACATGTGGTCATGTGACAGATTTCCTTTTCTTGGGCTCCAAAAATCACTGCAGATGATGACTACAGCCACGAAATTAAAAGACACTTGGTGCTTGGAAGAAAAGCTATGATCAATCTAGACAGCATATTAAAAAGCAGAGATGTCACTTTGCCAACAAAGTCCATCTAGTCAAAGCTATGGTTTTTTCAGTAGTCATGTACGGATGTGAGAGCTGGACCATAAAGAAGGCTGAGCACTGAAAAACTGATGCTTTCAAACTATGGTGCTGGAGAAGCAAGTCCCTTGGAAGCAAGGAAATCAAATCACTCAATCCTAAAGGAAATCAACCCTAAATATTCATTGGAAGGACTGATGCTGAAGCTCCAATACTTTGGTCACCTGATATGAACAGATGACTCAGTGGAAGAGACCCTGATGCTGGGAAAGATTGAGGGCAAGAGGAGAAGGGGGAGGTAGAAGATGAGATGGTTGGATGTCATTGCTGACTCAATGGTCATGAGTTTGAGAAAACTCAGGGAGACAGTGAAGGACAGGGAAGCCTGGCA